GCATGAGAGCCTCATATGACCATTGAAAGCTAGTCAGGTTCTCAAAGCTTTTAATGAACGATGCAAAAAAAGAACTCGCTACTTGGAAGCAACACTACTTAAGTGAAAAGGGATTTTCCCTCTTTTTCCCCATTTCCCTTCTCTTGTAGTCTAACACCCACCAGTGCAATTAACCATGTAGCACTCATGAATTATTGTGTAGAATGGTTGAAATAGCGAATACAAATATGTGTATTATAAATAATAGTTCTTTAGCTTAGCCATGTATGCTACAAAGCTTGCTGTCACTTTTTCTCTTCAAGTTCCTTATATTTCAGAGTCATTTGTATTAAAGCAAATTTAAGGCAAATATAAAAGAAACAAAATCTTGCTTCAGAAATCAGAGATTAATTTAAGACTTGTGTTGAAAAAAGTCAGGTGTACTGTTGTGGCTGAAATAAACAGGTTTTTTTTTGTTGTTTTTTTATAAATATTAGGTCTGTTAAAAGTCAGTCAGTATGATTTTAAGTTGCCAAACAGAAGTCAACATTTAAATCAAGATATAAATATAAATCTGTTGTAAGATGCTACAAAGCAATTAATTGTAGTTACCAGTAGTTTTTTCTTGTTCTTGTTCAAACATGAATAAACCAATAAATCAAATCAAATCAAATCAAATCAAATCAAATCAAATCAAATCAAAACAACAATAATTAATAGGGATCTATAGTGACTCGGATATATCAGGATTCATGGTTTTCTCATTCTTCTGCATTATATGAATATTTCTGTGTTTAAACTTTAAACACAGTCTTCTTATATTCCTTTGTTTTATTTTTTTGTATTAGAATTTTTATCAAATTATTTGTGTGTATACAGTTCATCCTGCTTAAGCTACCTCCTTTAAAATAGCAAGACCGTCTGTCTATAAAGGTGTTGATGATGATGATGATGACGATGATGATGATGATGATGATAATGATGATGACGATGATGATGATGATGATGATGATGGTGATGATGATGATGGTGATGATGATGATGATGGTGATGATGATGATGATGATGATGGTGATGATGATGATGATGATGATGATGGTGATGATGATGGTGGTGATGATGGTGATGATGATGATGGTGATGATGATGGTGATGATGATGGTGATGATGATGATGATGATGATAAATTGATAATGGTGATGATGGTGATGATGATTGTGAAGATGATGATTGTGATGATGATGATGATGCTAATGATGTTGATGATGATGGTGAGGATGATGATGATGAAATGATGATTGTGATGATGACAATGATGATGATGATGATAATGATGATAATGATGATGATGATGATAATGATGTTGATGATGGTGAGGATTGTGATGATGATGATGATGATGATAATGGTGATGATGGTGATGATGACGATGATGATAATGATGATGATGACGAAGATGATTGTGACCATGATGATGGTGATGATGTTGATGATGATGATGACGATGATGACGACGATCATTACGATTCATTAAAATTTATGTCACACCACATTACTGTAAAAAGATCCAAAGCCCCAGGCTCTTTCAATTAGGTCATAATTTGCTGAAGTCGTTAAGTTTGAGCTTTGATTTGAAGTGGTGTTTCACAAAGACTAAGATCAACTTTAAGTTGGACTTGACTATGACAGGCCGTCCATGCCACTGTTTGCTCTCACCATTTACTGGCATTGGTCTCTCAAGGAACCTACAAATCATGGTCACAAATCTACAGAATTTACATTTTTTAGAATTCATTATTGAAGGAAAACATATTATCTAAAGATCATAATGATGAGAGTAAACAGTGGCGTGAACAGCCTGCAATAGTTAAGTCCAACTTAAAGTCGATCTTAGTCTTTGTGAAACACCCCCCTGGATGGGGTAGAAGAACCCTTGCACTTTTCTGAACTTTAGCGAAACAAACCCTGGTGACTCATCCTCAGCGAATGCTCCATGTTTTGACTTCCTTGTTTCAATGGACACTCAGTGGGTGTGTCACAGCCCTTAATCTGCCCTACAGTACCTAGTCTGCAGGGAACAGACTCCAATTTTGACACATTTTACCACAATTCCTAAATAGCCTTGAGCAGAGCCTAGCTCCAACAGTCTCTGGCTCTGTCTGAAGCAGCTAAAGTAAACAGAGCCTGTGACTTGATGTCAGTTTAGTCTTTCTTTGCAGACACTGTTACACATACAGAGACTGACAAGGCACAAGCTCTAACTTGACACTTTACCACATTCCCTAAAAGCCTTGAGCAGAGCCTAGCTCTGACAGTCTCTTCCAGTGTACATATCATGCAGCTAAATGTACAGAGCCTTTGTAGTGTGCTGTGACTTGCTGTCAGTCTAGTCTTGTTGTGCAGACACTGTTACACACAGCGACTGGCAAGGGTGTGTCACAATCGTTAATCTACCCTGTATGAGTATACCCATGTAGTCTGACTCATAGACTTGGTCAGTAGTTTTTTACCTGTACATGAAACTGTGTTTGACAGAGTCTGAGCATAGACTACATTTACAAAATGTAGTTGTATATATCTCCTTCATAGAGAAAGAGACAGACAGAGCGAGATAGAGACAGATACAGAGGGAGAGATACTGACAGATAGAGAGAGAGAGAGAGAGAGAGAGAGAGAGAGGGAAGGGGAGGGAGACAGACAGGTAGAGAGGATGAGTTTTTAATTACACGTTGTATAAATATGTAATGAGTATTATATTTCAGAAACATGTAGAATTTTGAATGAAAGACTTTTTCCACAATCTCATACCTGTTGAAAGATTTGAAGTCAGTACAATGTTGACCTTGCCATATATACATACCGGTATTGTACACAATGTAGATGACCTTAGCAGACAATTTTGAATTAGAACAAGATCTTTAGTTATGCTAATGTTCATAATTATCTAGGTACTACACACTCCTCACTTCATGGGTAATACAAAAAGAGAGAGAGGATTTTTAAAAATTGTTTTGAAATTTGTGTACGTATGAAAAAAATTATTAAAGTAGTTTACTAGATTTTTTTCTCCCAATAGCACAAGTGCATTTAAAATCATGAAATCACTGGCTAAGTTTATATATCAAGCTTATTCATGGCATGAAATATTTTGCTGTTTGCAATGAAGAGTTTGGAAGTGCTGCTTGAACAACTTAATTACATTGTGTAATGTGTTCCTCCTTTAAATGCAGAAAGCATTTAATTACTAAAAGCAACAATAAACCGCATAGCATTTCCTGCTGTAAAGTGTAAACAACAATAAATGACCCAATCGTTAAACTATACCGAGGTTTATTGTAATTGTCATTGATGAATGTTTTTCGTGTGTGGTTTGTACAAGGAAATGAGGATGGTTAAGCAAAGAAAAAGAGAACTGGACCAGGTCCGTGACTAGACTAGGGAATTTTCTTATGAAGAAGTCCTTGGCGTATCCAGACATTGATAAATGGGGCACCGGCAGGGGCAGAGTCTACTCCAGTAGGGGGGAGGGGGTGCTGGGGAGGGGTCATCTGGTCAGCCCTGGGTGAAATACGGTTACAGTGTGTACACAGCAAGTAATGGGGGGGGGGGGGGAGTATGCTTGCTCCCAATGGTGTGCTTTGTTCACTATTGGGGAAGGGGGGGCAGTGAATAAATTGCATACGAGGAGAGATCGAATTAGCCTTTGAAAGTTAGAACAAAAGTGCGCTAGGGAGAATCTAGGATAAAGAGAGAAGAAGACGAAACAAGAAGGGGTGGTAGAGGATATGGTCAAGATTACAAAAGGAAATGGGCTTCATGTCCATCAGAGAGAGAGAGAGAGAGGGGGGAAGGGAGGGAGAGAGAGAGAGAGAGAGGGAGCAAGGGAGAGAGGGGGAGAGAGAGAGAGATATATATACTGTAGGCAGAAGGAGAGGGTGGGGCAAGGCACCGGAGAGTGAAAGTAAGGAGGGCGGAGAGAGAAGTGAGAGGAAGGGAAATAGAGAGGCAAACAAAAGGGAGGAAGGAGAGAGGAGAGAGAAAGAGAGAGAGAGAGAGAGAGGGGGGGGGGGAGGAGGGGGGAGGGGGGGGGGGGGAGGGGGAGAGAGGGTCAACAAACATGTGCATGAAATAGATTATCCAGACAGATAGTTTTCAGCACAGACAGTGTGTGGGTGTGGCCCAGATACCACAAAGGTGAAGGTGTGGTCGGATCCACATAGTCTGCAGGTTCAGACCCTCATTTGACACTTGACCACAATTCTGTGAAGTCTTGAGCCGAGCCTAGGTCTGCCAGTCTCTGGCTATGTTGGGAGCATTGATATTTTTTTGGAGACCATTCACACACAGAGAATTCTCGTTCGAAAGCAAGAACGTCTGAATTGCGCATGCATGAATCTTGACGATGTATGTGCGCTTGGAATCCTGGGATTAAATAAATCAATTTTGATTCTTAATACATGTACCAATCACACATACAACACCAGGCAAACTATCGCGATCATTCTGAAAATCGCAAGACTGACTGCGAATTTGATCGCGATATGAATCGCGAAGATAAATGAAATTATTCTGTCCGCACACGCAAACAAAAATTTGGATTTTTTTTTTCTGTATGTGTGAATGTCCCTACTGAGAAAAACGTACCTAGACCATAGAAAGAAAAAGAGGGGGGGGGGGGGGAGGAGAAAAATACAGAGATAAAAAGACAAGGAAAACCTCAACCTCAAGCCCCAAAATAATTCCAATCCTGCTTATTGTAAAGAACCAAGAGCCCATCGATGATGATGATAGGACAATAAAAACGAGAACAGGCTCTTTGAAGAAGAACTGGGCGCTCTACTAGTAATTTCCTGCCAAGAGGAAGTAAGCTCGGCTTATTTCCTCTACAGACAATCCAACCAAATGGGTACCCTGCTAAGGCTTGTAGTCTCCCCAAACCAGACCCTCGCAAATCACCGTCCCTCGTAATCAACGCATCTTGCGCATTTCTCCCTCATCATAGATGCCAATTATAGTCCATTGCTGAAACCTTTATTTTATTTTGTTGTTCGAGCTGACTCGCACGCCGCTTAGAATCAATTTGGAAGATTGAGGACGTTTTTGTTGTATCGTAGAGTCTGCTTGTTAAGACTACTGTTAGAGTATCCTCTTCCTTTTGTAGCAAAGAGAAAGACAGTCTGTCTATTTTTCCCCCTATCCCTCTTTCTCTGATCTCCGTCTCTTTCTCTCTGCCCTTATTGCTATTTATGGTCTAGGCAAAAATTAGACACATCGCAGCTAGCGGTTAACCTACTCTACAACGAGCACCATTCGTTCGGACGCAATCTGCAAATGTAGTCATGGTATAGAAGGCTGTCGGGCTCGGACGTAGCATTTGACATTTGGACGGTTGATTTTGTTGGGCTTCAGTCGTCTTTGGAATCATCAACGCTCTCGTCATTGACGACTTTGGCGTTATCCTTGAGTCGTTTATGGTTTCGCAGGTAACGCAAGGCATAGGAACTTAGCTGTAAGGACTGTCAAAGTTGCTTGTACACTCGTGGCATGCCACTTGCGATCTGCTTTTTGTGCCTTGTATAGATTCTGGAATTATCATTAATGAGAGTCCATGCCATTGTTATCCACCTATAACAATAGGTACTTGTGGAATACATGTAGACTAGAATACATGGTAAGTATTGTTGTTTCTTAATTCTATATAGGAATGAGATAATTCAGTAGTCGATTAATTGATTGTGTATAGAACAACATGAGATTAACATACTTCGGGCTCCAAACAGACAACATTATTCATAATACCAGTTGACATATACTGTAACTGCTATACGAGAGATTAGCCTTGTTTGGATAATGGTAAACTCTGGATATCAATAATTGCTGAAGAATTGCTGAAGATAAGGGTGAGGATTGTACTGTTCTTGCATTGAAGCTTTCACGAACAGTTTATGTGGTTTACAGACTATGTTCGGAATATCTAAGGGATTGTCAAGTTGTGAGAGGTGTATAAATCACATAAATGTCAGTAGTCATATGAAAAACCATTGTATAGCCAAATAAGCGTACATACTAAAAAACAATGTACCTGTACAGGTTACTTTAGTACATGTTTCAATGAGAAACCATTTTCAAGGGAAACAAAAAATGTGGTCTTTGTAGACAGGTGGTCCTCAAACCAGGTTTCCCTGTACATAAAAATGTCAACAAGAAACAGTAAACGCATTCATTTTACTTAATGATTGTAGGCTTGTTTTTCACACAAAAACTTTGGGGATTTGCCAGATATTTTTCTAGACTAACATGATCCCATTGCCTTCATGAACCAATTGGATCCTGTATCGAGTCTATTGGACTGATTGAATTCAGCGGTCGTTGGGTTAACATAGAGATGAAGAGCTCCAAACCGATGAAGGATGTATCCTGCAAAAAGTGCAGAGACAATTAAATCTATTATCCCCAAAGACAATGGTATGTGAAACCGGTCTAAACCATAGGAAGTCAAGGAAACGGCATAGTGAACTTCAAAAAGTACCCGTGATTTTCGCCCAATATTCTTTCTATGCTCCATTTAATAGGGATTTTCAGTTCCTACCCTTTTTTGCCTTATTTTGGTCATCAGGAATTTTAGAAAAAAATCATTTTCTATTCTGATGAGATTTTTAGACCATGGTGATGTTTTTTCACACAGACCACTGCTTCCGTAGCTTTAATAATATTGCATTTACTGCTTCAGTAAACATGTATGAATACATTGTGAAAATCTTTATACCTTTCTGTGTGTGTTGAAAGGCAATTAGGGGGGGGGGGGGGTGTAGAGAACACGAGGGAGTTTCTGTTTGTAACCTTTTCATTTTGCCAGCGTGGAAATAGGAAGTGGGAAATTGAGGCTGTTTCCTGTTTGGGCTGTGCCGGAGAGAGGAAGTGCCCATTTGGCGCTTTTCACTGGCTTCCACATCAACATCCCCAAAGCCAGAGGTTATTTTCATCGCTCTTTGTTCCAATGTTCGCAGGCTCATGTGATAGAGTGGGGGAGAGAGAGGGTGAAAAGAGAGTGGGGTGGGGGGGGGGGAGGAGGAGAGAGAAAGAAGAGAGAGAGATAGGGGAGAAAAAGAGTTGAACAGAGAGAGAGAGAGATAGAGAGAGAGAGGGGGGGGGGGGGGAGGGGAAGAAAAAGGAACAGAAAGCATGAGGGAGACACAAAGAGCAGGGGTAAATAAGAGTGAGAGAGAGAAATTAGAGAGAGAGGGGAGAGGGAGAGGGGGAAGAGACGTTGAGAGAAAGAGAGAGAGAGAGAGTCAGTGAGAGAGACAGAGAAAGAGAGAGAGAGGGGAATAGTAAAAGAGGGAGAAAGAGAATTTGAAAGAAAGATAAAGAGAGGAAGGAGAAGGAAAAGGGTGAAAAGCAAGAGGGAGAGAGAAGGGAATGAAATGAGATAGAGAAAGAGAGAAGGAGAAATAAAGAGAGAGAGAGAGTAAAGGAGAGAGTAAGAGAAAGAAAGACTAAAGAACGAACTCCCTTAAATCATAATCATGTCATAGAAGGGACAGGAACATAGAAAGAAAATGAGACAAAACAAAAACAATTTGTGCAGTTTTATTGCTCATTTTCTTTTTATAGCCTCAGCAGTTAAAAAAGGCTTATTCGCTTTATAATTTGTATACATGACCCATCAATATTTTTACGACCAGCTTAACAGTTGCAGAATAAGAGCTTAGTATTAAAAAAACTATACTAAATTATTCATACTCTTACCAATTAGTTTTCAGTTTTTAAGTATATGAAAAATTGATGTGTGCCAATTTATGCTTCTTGATAATGTGACATAATAAAGCTCACATCTTAAAGTATTCAACACAGGCACTAATTCAACCAGTCAACCTTTCAATTTTAGTCATAGAAAAAAAAGCAAACATCAAATTTACAAGGGGTATGAATAATTTGGTTGCTAACTGCACATGTATTTGCACCAATAAACATACTACAGTCAAATCTGCTTTAGTGACCACCTGTCTACAAAGACTACATTTTTTGTTTCCCTTGTAAATGGTTTCTCATTGAAAAATGTATTAAAGATATCTGCACATAAAGACTACCTGCCTGTAAAGACCACTTTTCTTGTCTCCCTTGGGTGGTCTTTATAGACAGGTTTCACTGTACCAATTACCAAAATAGATTATCAGTGATCTGAGAAAACATTTTGAAATCAAATATTCTAATGGTCCCATGTCAAATCAAGAGTATTGAATTACGAAGTACACATTTCATTTTAAAAAAAAATGCAAAGTGTAATAATACCCACCATAAGTCAAGTCCTTGATTGGAATTCCCATTTCCTGAATCTCTTTCTCTTTCTTTGTTATTTCTGGAAAGGAAGGTATCTTTTACATCCGTGTTTTGGCAATGTTTACCTGGTTACCACGGCGAGAGATCTTGCATTAGGCCTGTTTTCATCAGCTCGAGATAGCCAAATAGCCTGCTATTTCTGATTTGGGAAATAATCCCGTAGTTACAAATCGCGTCTTCATCAGCTCGAGACTCGACCTTGAAACTCGAGATATTTTGCTCAGTGTTTGCGCATAGTGCGAATCTTCGGGCTGGTGAAGCCGCACCGGACAAATAGCGGGATATCTTGCCAAATAGCGGGATATTTTGCAAACTAGCCCAAGATATCTTAGGATGATTATCTCGACTAAATATTCTGCTTATTGCAACTTCAGGCTGATGAAGACGCAAATAAACTGGATAATTTGCGATCGGGATAGTTCAAATAGAGGGATGTTTGGCAATCTCGAGCTGATGAGGACAGGCCTATTGTTAAAAACCAAACGGGATCATCCGGGTCATGCCTTTTTCCTAAGAAGAAAAGATCGGATGAAAGGTTGCCTCAGGTGAAATACCTGTGAATTCTTGGAACCGAGCTATTTTTTACTCTGCAAATAAAGCAATGTTCAAGTAGACTGCAGTGTGTATTTATCATGTTTAATGAACTTGTGCAGTCAGCATTCAGAACTCGCTATAGTGCCTTGGTGGAAAATGGCCTTATTTCAACACGGCTATTAGACTGTGAAGTTCAGTTGGTTTTCATTGTAGGTGTTTTCAGAGAACAAACTTCAGATATTTTCATTGTAGGTGTTTTCAGGGAACAAACTTCAGCGAGTTTTCATTGAAGGTGTTTTTCAGAGAACGAACTTCAGATATATTTTCATTTTTCAGGGAATTGCAGTCGAGGAGGTCAAGCTTTGGAGGTCATTTTGTTCAGGTAGGACAATAGACTTGTGAGAAATAGGCGATGATGTGTTGATTTATGATACACTTTGGCGATATCGTCTGTACCGAGCCAAAAGGGTGTTAAATCTGTGTTAAAGTATGTGACTTAACACCTTTCAAACACCTTCAAAGCAGATGATGTGGGAATTTTTATGATTTTTCTTCTTCCGGGAAATACCCTCTTTTGAAGGTTTAGTTTCAGTCATCTATGCAATGATTCCAGTTTTGGCTCTTAAAATACCAGCAAATTATTCCAGTTTTTGCTTATGTAAATATCCTCACTTCCTTGCCATCTCATGTGCGCACAGCTCACCCAAAACACAGAATTAGCAAACACCAATGTTTTCTTTATGGGTTTTTCCACTAGTGTAAATAATAATTTTTTAAAAACCCATGATTTTTCAATATGTGTTTTTCTGTAGTGTAAATGGGCCTACATGTATATCTGCTTATCAATTACAAGATTTTTGAAAATTAATGTAGTGCTCAGATTATTTCCAGGTGTTATTTGAATCCCACTTGTTACAAGTACTGTTTGTAGCTATAAAGGATGGTGAAAAAGTAGCAAACGCTTTAATAGTTCAGTAAAAGATAGAGCGATCGTCACTTGATTTGCGAACCAGCATACGTGTAGGCCTACATACATACACTGCAGATAAATGTCTGCTCTCAAAACCAGAATTGGATTTTTTTTTTAGGGGGGGGGGGGGGGGGAGGCAAGCTGGCAGTAGTGCTAGCCTGTGCATAATTCTACATTTGTAACGGATTTAGGCCTTTTTATTCAATGCAGAGACAAAAAACTAGATGTTTTTACAACTTGACTTTGAACTGTAGTCTGTTTGGAGCCAGAAGGGCATTAATTCATATGCTTTAACACAGCGTTAGCTCCCTTCTGGCTCTGAACAGAGGCTTCATTGTAGGTCAGGGAAGGAAGGAGTAAAGACCCAGAAATGACGATCGTTTTGACAGTGACCTTGTCCTTACTCAGTCTGAGGACTGTTCACACAACAGTTTTTAAAAAAATAACCAAGGGACCGTTCACACAAAATAAATAATTTGAGGGTACAAGCAAAGGGATTATTGTTAAGTGCTACATGAGAACGAAGGAGGAAAGGCCCAGAAAGTACCATTGTTTTGACAGTGACCTTGTCCTTACTCCGTTTTTTAGGACCCATTCACACAACAGCAAAATAAAGTAACCAAAGGATCTTTCACACAAAATAAATAATTTGAGGGTACAAGCAAAGGGATTATTGTTAAGTGCTACATGAGAACGAAGGAGTAAAGACCCAGAAAGTACTATCGTTTTGACCATGAACTTGTCCTTTTAATATGCTATGGTCACATTACCCAAAAGTAGCCTGCTCGGCGGCCGAGCGGCGAGTTTTTAACCAATTCTGCCCGGCG